GCATAGGTTTTTCACATCGGTTATAACCCATGTAGAAAAGATTTCACATCGGTCATTTTATCAATCGATGTGAAAAGCTTCGTTTTTTCCGGAACATATGTGTTTCACATCGGTTATAGCCCATGTAGAAAAGCAATCACATAGGTTATTTTACAACTGATGTGAAAAGCTTCAATTTTTTCGGTATTTTTCAGGAAAAAAATTGCAATATGACCCCTGTTTATACTATAATCACATCATTAACAGTATCATCAACTACTATAATACAATTTTTCACATGTTCACTTGATCCATCTAAAACAATAACACAAGCTATTTTTCAATTCTTCCACAAATGTTAAACAAGTTCAAGTAACAACTTAGTACATAATAATAAGCTAAAATAAAATAATCTTTGCAGAAGTCTAAAGTAATAACACATTGTATAAAGTTACAAGTCTCATCATCACTCAAAAACTTAAACAAACACGTTCTTCATGTGTCATTGATGGATTGCGTCATTTCTAAGAAATATGATGCCCAACGAGTTCGTACGTACTTCATCAATCTCTTCGGATGAGAATGGTTCCGGATTGGCGAATCGCTACAAATTAAATAAGAAGGTTGTTAAAAAACCATACATGGAGCAAACCTATTAAATGTAAATAAAATAATAATGTATCTCATCCCACATTTCAAGAATTACCGCCGAAACAATATTCAACATATGCAACATCACATAATAACCACATTCATACTTTTTATATTTCTCTTCTCTACTTCAACACTAATTTCCACAGGCTATTGAGTAAAACAACATGACATTTTAATAAATGACAATAACCCATATTCTTTAAGCATTAGGAGAAAAGATCAAACAATAAAATACAAACTACAAAGTAATGCAAGAGTTACAAAACACTACATAACTAAACAAGTAAACTTGTTGCTGCCTGTTTGCCGAAATCTGAAAAATTAAAAGAATAGACTTACCAGGCAGAGGCGAGCAACTTAGCGGATGGCAGAAGCAAGAAGCTGAAAAGCACAAAGTTTGTTCAGCCACATACTTTGTCGTCTTGCCGCTAATTCAATTCAGTATAGTCGCCAACTCGCAGCACGCCTCACATCCTTGACTACTCGTTCACCTTTGGTGAACCTTGCTTGCAGCTCATGAAAGCATGGTTATGCCACCTCAATCAGATGAAGAGCTCAGTTTTAGAGATGAGAATCCCATCATTGTCAGCGTACAACCATTCCCCATCACAAATTAAGGTTCCAGAAACATAAACGGGTACATATTTCTCACCAATGCCCTTCTTGTTGGGTTTGAGAGGGTTTGATGCCAATGCTCGGACCTTAATGTCACACCCATTGATCTCATATACATCTCTTATGCAACCGTTTACTACAATGCCAGCTCAACCTATACTCTGAGCTAGCTACACCAAGTTAGCTCCTACCAAGGCACATCTGAAGCTTCCACCACCTTCTATCACCTAGACTCTGCCTTCACCTCTGGTTTCAAGAATCTCCCGCACCAACACATTGTCCCAAACACCTTAAGAGTAACAATGGGGCCAGAAAATGCACGATATTGCCCATATATCTGAAAAACAGGATGTAGTACCCGCAACTCACCACTCGCAAGATAAGATATATTAGAATCACAAACTTCAACCGTTGCTAAGAAAGCCATAATTTCTTCTCTAATTCTTAGTTTCCGAAAAAAAGAGCTAAGGAAATATGGGATTATATATATATATATATATATATATAGGGGTGAGTTCAGGTGAGAAAGACCTCTTAGGAGAGAAAAAAGAACAAAATCATACCATTGATTAATCTGATCGTGTGGCTTATATAATGGCTTGGAATTAAAAAAAAAGCATGTTGCACCTCACGTGTCAGCCTGAAAAAATGGAAAGAGTGCCACAATGTATTTATTCAGGGGCATAATGGTGAACCCCATTTAAGTGGTTACCACGCACAAGCCACCATAATAGGAAGCAATCCTAATAGTTAGGAGAATAATTAATACGGATTGTTCTCCCTCATAATTACCACCATAAATAGTTTATCTTATGCTTGAAAAATTAAATAGTTTATCTTATTTATTTTCTTTCCAAATTTAAGGTCCGCTCACGTGTGACTTTTTTTTCAGATGCAAGATTTGTTGATTGCACTTTAATGGTGAATCATTGCACTCTTATTTGATTTTTTTGCAAATATTCATTTTAATAGTCACGACTATTATGTTTAACCAAATGTACATTTATTGTAATTAAAATGTGCATTTTTTCAGTAAACGAAAACATTAATATGTGCAATAATTGCAATTTAGAAGTGCACTTTATTTTTATAATTAGAATAATGTGATATTGAAATCTTATCAGTATACACGTAGTATTTATATACTTATAATGCACCAAAATGGATTCAGAATGCATATTATATACACGTGTATAATATTGTAGACTAACAATAATCAAGAAGTGTCCTTAATGTATACATAAATGCAATTGTACAAATACATGGTTACTCTTTTACAAAATACAATACAACTTTTCACTTCTATGGTGCACCATTAGCTTGCAATAATCTACAGTATTGTAAACCACACTTTGATGTCATTAGTTTGCACTTTCTACAACATTAATCTACACTTTACACATTTAGTTGTGCAAACGAATATAAATATACAAGGACGTACACTAACAACTATAACGTGCATTTAAAATAATATAAACATGCACTATTATTTCATTTTCTAAAATTCTAAACATACACTTTTTTACAAAATAAAATGCACTTTTATCATGTGCATTTAAATATACATAAAAGTGCACTAGTACTTCCATACTATTCTAAAATTTTACATTGATATTTTTTACAAAATGACATGCACTTTTCTCCCAAAAGCATCACAGTTTCCATTATGACATTGTCTCCTGGTGCCTCTTTTATCTGCAAAGAAAGTGAAACAAAAAACTAATGAAAAGTGCATAAACAAAATATGACACGTGCATCAAAGGTTTAATACGTAGTATAAAATTAAGAAATCAATTAACAGATATAATTAAATCACCAATGACATTTGTTTAATCGTTTAAACATACACTTTCATGATAAATCATTTATAAAAAATGCATTATCTAAGACATTTTTGTGCAGCATCACACAAAACTAACTGCGCCAAAACAATTAGGCCGAACTGAAATCTCTGTACAATCCAATGATTTTTTCAGGGATATGCATGAGAAATCCTTGAATACAAACCCCATGAAAAATCACAAAATGAAATCCATGAGAAAGTGAATAAACTAAATCCATGAAAGTGTATAAAGTAAATAACGGAATACCTAAAACAGAATTAGTGGAGTAGTTACTCAATGTATAATGTAAATAACGAAATAAAGATATACAAAAATTGCATGGTCATAATAATTATAAAAAAGTAAAGTGAGAACTAATGAAAATCAAATACGCATACCAGGATCAATGTAGAGAAAATCTTATTGTTAAAAAATTGCATTGCTTGATGATAATTGTAGTGAAACGGCGATGGAGAACGAAGTTGATGGTGGAGTGCTGGTAAGATGAGACGAAGATGAAGAATGAAATCATATATGGCAAGAAAAAAATATAATGGAAGAAGTATTATCACTTCCTAAATTAAAGGGTGTCGGTTATGGGAAAGCATTAGAATTACTATATTAGCCTTATACGGATTATTTAATTAATTAGAATAATGGTGCAATCCAATGGTCCTTGTTTATTCTTTTTTTTTTCTCCAAAGATCAAATTCTCACATGATCCTAAATATATATATATATATATAGGGGATGGTTCAAATACAAAGAGGTCTTCCCTTGCAAAGTGAGAATTAATCTCGTGCATTCATTTTCAGATCTAATGGCTCAAAATGAGCCAAAAGTGAACTAAATTTGATCAAAAACGCGGTGGCAATTTCGTAATTAAAACGAAGTTTTTTGCCATCGCGAAAAAGTGCAACAGAAATACGCAAAAGTGCAACGCGGTGAGGAAAAAGTGCAATCGTTCGCACTTTGCACGGGAGAATCGCTTTTTATTTGATCTCTTCCCTATATACATATATTATATATATATATATATATATATATATATATATATATATATATATATATATATATATATATATATATATATATGGCTAGTGCGTTTTTATCTCATGAATATCTGTGGAGTATGAAAGCATAACTAACTAGTTGGGATCTGACCGTTGATCAGTTATAGATGACGCTGTCCCATCTCGTTGGACTATCAGCATGCACTTAGATAGAAAGGATTATATTACAAGAGAGAAAGAGAGAACACAGTGGACCATGCTTTTTAGGAAAAGATTCATAATACACAAATACAAGCAGTCAACCAAAAATCTTCATGTTCAAATACTGAGTAGGTATTCTAAATTTTCAAGAACAACAAGATGAACAGCAGGAACGACTTTGTCAAATAGCATAATGAATAGAATGAAAAGTAATAGGAAGGGGATAAAAAACATGTACTCGTTTGGCATATTGATGAAGTAACAAAATCCAAATAAATAGAGGGTAGCTATTTAGAGCACTCATAGAAATAATTAGATTTAGGGTCATGGATCAATTCACACAGAAGAATTCAGAGATCATATGTAGCTGCAGAAGAGTAGACTGAATGTATTTGTTATAGGCTTGTAGCTCATGCATACAATGAACCATAAACCCGTACAACATGAAAGATTAACACAAAAAAAGAATATAAACTTACTAAAACAGCAAGTTTATTTTCTAAAATCATTTTAGGAGGCTTAGCAAATGAGAAGTAAACTATTTAATTTCCTAAAACAACAGAACTACAACATTACTATCAAACTAATCAAAGTATCAATTATCAATCAAGAAGGTAGTCATCACATATTTTCATCAATGAAAGATAGAGAAATAGACAAACTTATTATTCTCAACTTTTTTTAAGAAAAACAAAGTAATTGAAATAAATTACTAACTGCAGTAGTTCTCTCGAGAGACCGGAGAAGCTAAAAATGGTGTTGGGGTGGCACACAATAGCGGTGGCGCTCGCGTGCACGGTTCTAGCAATGCTGCCCGCAGTCTCGTCCCAGACGGCGCATCCCGGCCAACCCCAGTTGTATAAAGTCGGAGGCAGCCATATGTGGAAAATGAATGTGACCTTCAACTACACCACTTGGGCAAGCGGCAAACATTTTCACAAGGGAGATTGGCTCATTTTTTATTTTGACAAGACCATGTTTAATGTGCTGGAAGTAAACAAAACCTGCTATGACTCTTGCGATTCTGACCAACTTAACCAGACCAAGACTTACTATTTCATTAGCCACAGCTGGCAGTGCGCAAGTGGAATGAAAGTAGCAATTCACGTTGAAAAACAACCGCCTCCTCCGATACCCTCCCCAAAAAAGAGCAGTTCTCCTCCTACTCTGCTCTCCACATTCAGAGGTCACATTCTTCTGCCAGCTTTGTTCACCATTTCTGCTGTGTGGGATTCCTTCCTGTTGCTTGTGTAGGTAGGAGCATTTTTCATCATCTAGATTACACGGCTTTGCTGAATCGGTTAAGTTAATTCGGAGCAACCCAATTGTGAAGAAAGATTGCTATGTAGGATGATGTGTGCATTTATGTACCCGGAAAAGAAAACCTTGGCGTGTTTTGCAGTAATCTCTTGTTCTCTGAGGTCGTCAATCATTTTTTAAACTAATCAATTGATCATTTGTGTTAAAAAAATTGAAATAAATTACTAGTTAAAGTTTGCATTACTTTTTTGAGGAATTTTATCAAACACCATAAATGCATTCCAAATTCCTATCAATATTAGGCTATAAATTTATGTATCATTTCTCAAGAAAAATCAGCAAATACTTTAATAACCTGTAAGGGAAAGTCAACAGAAAATCATTTGGAATATATGCTTAACAACCCTTTTCACTAAATTGAGTTCAAAGTTTGCTCTTCGCCCATTGAGCCATTGCATCAAGCAAATCTAACCTTATTTTCCTTATATAGGTGACTCGTTTACACAATCAAAATCAAAATCAGAAGCACTTTGATTAAGAGAGTTGTAATTGATAGGCCTTTGAAACGAATAACATTCATAACTCCTCAATTAGAACTATCTGTCTATCTTAAATACAAAGTAACTATAACAATACATCGAAATATCTTTACCTGGAGTCCTGGACTGCTGGACACTGGAGAGTGAAGAGTGGAGACGCTGGTTCGACGAAGAAGGGAATCCATCAACTATGGTCGCCGTTCCATCAAAGAGAAGAAAAGACTGAAAGAGTCATATACTCTATTAGGTCACACTGGACTGAGCAAAGAGGAGAACACACCTTTTTTCCTTAAAATGTCTAGACCAACTAATCTATTACCTTATGCGGACGACTACTCGGTGTTTTGCGGACGGGTGTCGCAGGCGGGTGTTGCAGGCTTGCAGGCGGGTGTTGCAGGCTGGTATCGCACTCATGTGTCGCAGGCGGTGTGGCAGTCAGGTGTCGTAGTCTGGCCAACTGAATTTGTTCTAGGTTAATTTAGGGATCGATTATAACCAGCTGATAGCATCATTCATATAATAACCGGTCTGTAAAATATACTTTCATTAATTATAAATTTACCCCGTTTTTCTATTAACATCGGTTGCACTAAAACCCGATGTAGAATATCTAACAAAATTAAAAAGTATACCCCATTTTCCTTTTTAACATCGGTTAAATACACAACTGAGGTGAAAAAGTTAATAAAAATTATAAAAAAGACCCAGTGTCAGCATTCTACATGGATTTTGGGCCAACACATGTAGATAAGATGATGTAAAAGACCTTTTTTGCACTAGTGTTAATGGTTGAGAATACCATTTTGAGGATTATCAATAGAATTCCCCCAACTTTTATATTTATTGTATGTTTGTTATTGTATTTGTTATTTGAGTCCACCTACAAAATGGATTAATGTTGTTGTTGATTATGTTGTTAGTTGTTTATACTGAATTATAAATTTTGCCTGTCAGTTAATTACTACGTACCTTTTGCTTATTGTGCAATAATAATACAAGAATATTATTTTGAGATTGAACTACCTGCCATTAGATGTGTACCTTGGAACTATTAAACTTTTTTACTAGGCAGTTGATTCCCATTTTAAACTTTTATGTTTTTGTTATGTTTAAATTTTATGTTTGCACTTGAATATTTTTGTAATACTTGAACATTTGGATATGATGTATGTATAATGTAATGATCATAACATCAACAACTATTTTCAGGATTTGACATTTGAATATTTTTATGTAAGTGAATGTAAAACGTGTGTAGTTTACGTGGATAATATTTTTTATAAGGAACAAAAAAAGGTAAGAACCGAAGCCAATTTAACTAGAACCGAACCAAATTTAATTATATTTTTTACTATAATCGAACCGAGTTTAACGCCTACAATTTTTAATACGGTTCTATCGAATTTTAATCAGAACCGAACCAATCCCAGACCTAATTTTTTATTATATTTATTATATGATTTAATTTTTTTAGTTTTATTTTCCCCCAATCTTTTATTAATTTTAAAAAAATATTATTTTTTATATTTTTATTATAAAAAAATAATTTTCTTATTAATAAAATAAAATCTATTATAACTTATAGGAACGGTGTAGAATAAGAAAAAGGGAAATATATATTACTCCTATTTTGAGAATAAAAGGATTATAGTCCTATTGTTGCATTTAGGACTACTTTTAATCCTATTTAGGGCTAATAGCCGTTTATCAATATGCTGTTCTATTGATGAAACAAATAATACTAGGGAAGATTTCTGAAATAGGAGTAAAAACATTCCGAAATTCCAAAATAGGTGTGTCATGTGTTATTCCTTAATAAGAGTAATTATTTTCAAATTTAGAAAATTATTGTCACGTTTAAGTTCGATAGTGCCAAAACATGAAAGTAATTACCCATTTTATGGATTAAAATTATAATAATAGTTTCATTCAGATATTCGCACACATTTTTTCTCACATTTGTTAGAATTAATTTTATATAATATCTATAATAATAATAATAAAGTAACAAGGTGTAGCACCTTCTTTTCCCTCCAATTAGACATTTAATGCTTCATAACCATTAAACAATAAGAGTTACACTAATAATTAGTGATTAGGAATAGTAGCAGCAGCAGCAGCAACAGCAGCAGAAGCAGCTGAAGTAGCAGCAGCAGCAACAACAACATTAGTAGTAAATAGTAATATATTATAGAATAATTGGAATATTTTCAATTCAAAATAATAATAATAATATAGTGATTTTTAATTGGCGGGATTTCAATTAACGCAAAAAAAATATATTAGAACATTATGATATTTTAATTGGAATGTTTTCAATTATAAGCTAGACGAGACCAAATTAAAAAAATACAAATCAGATTAAGTTTAAAGAGAATCGGTTTGATCATATCAGAATAGATACGTAAAATATACATATACCAGACACTTACCTGACTAGATCAAATTAGACTGTCGGACCAAACTTAAACAGAGTTGACCATAAAACTTTAGTCTAATTAAACAATCGTTATTAGTGTGTTGCGGTACATGAGAAAATAACAATGACATCTTATAGGTCTAGATAATTGTATTATTAATGATGATAATAATAATAGTAGTAGTAGTAGTAGTAGCAGCAGCAGCAGCAGTAGTAGTGGCAGTGGTAGTGGTAGTGGTAGTGGTAGTGGTAGTGGTAGTGGTAGTGGTAGTGGTAGTGGTAGTAGTAGTGGTAGTAGTAGTAGTAGTAATTGACCTATTTCCATGGTCACAATAAGGGGTGCCTCATTAAAAACCTATTTCCATGGCCTCGGCCTTTGTAGGAATTGACCTAGTGGATACTGTAGATTCATTGTTCATAAATGTTGATACCCATGGGGTGTATGAGAATATACTCCATCATGAGTCACCCACTCTCTGAAACGATAGTCATACTTGAGGTGATAGAGAATAATTCTTCAACTCGGGTTGCACGTTCGGCGGGGGCACCTATTTCCATGGTCACAATAAAGGGGTGCCTCATTAAAAACTCCACGAAGGAAAAACTTTGAGGGAAAAAATGCTAATGGAGGGAAAATAGTACATTAGCCTTGAAGCAACTACCGAAGAAGGAGGTGACGCCCCGCTGCATAAGATATGAGCAATCCAAGCTTAGTGCTCCACAACTAATTGATGAGCTCAATTTTCCTATATTTTCGCTCACTATTTTGCTCGTAATTAGACCAGACCTCGATAATTTTAAAATACACATAGAATAGACATCCACCAGACCAAAAGAAATCCAACTAGACCAAATAACACAAGAATTAAATAAACCAAACTATGTCAAACCAGATCAGAAATTATCAGACCAATTAAAAACATTCCTCATTTAATGAGGTAATGGTATGAAAATATGGTAAATTATTTGAGAAAAGCAATATAGCCCATTTGGTAATATTGAATTTGGCTGAATCAGATGAATCTTTGAAATTATTAAATTTCTGATTGAAGCGATTGAATTGACTGAATCTACTATATTATGAAAAAATATGTAAAATATATTTTATTAATAGACTAAAGAAAAAATTATAACTAAAATAGTCATTTATAGTAACTTCTAATCTTTACTCAATTCAATAAAAAATGATTCCAACTTTATTTATTTTGATTACTACACAATTAAGTCGAAAATAGAGATAATCCAACACATAGTTATGTATACTTAGAGCTCGTTTCCTAACACTAAAATTGGCTGAATTGGCTGATTGTGCTGAAATTTATGAAGTTCTGGTTGAAGTGGCTGTATTGGCTGATTCTGCTGATTCATAAAAAAATTATATATATTTAAAATATTTGTTATTAATAAAAAAATTAAAAAATATATGAAAAATAGCTAAAATGATCATGTAAAGTAACTTCAGCCAATACACCCAGAAAAGTAACTCCAACCTTACCTTTTCTGCTTATTACAAACTTCAGCGCGCGAAATAAAAAATTACGTGTTTGGTGAAAAAGCTGGCTGATAAGCCTGATAAGCCAAAAAGGGTCACCAAACAGACTCTTAGTAGGTGATATTTTGATGAATTTTACTTATGGTACACATCAATTTGTTTTATGAGGGTTTTACCTTAATATTGCTTCAGTAAAGACAATTTCCAAAAGTGTGACCACATTATCATTAGGACAAAAAAATGACTAAGAATGTCATATTAATGTCATTGTCAGGTTTTAATGTCATTGTCAAGTTTTTATGTCACTATCAAACGTCACTGCCGCCATAGTCGGTGTCACTGTAGTCACCGCCCGTGTCACTGTAGCCACCGTCCGTGTCACTGTAGCCACCGTCTGTGTCGCTGTAGCCATTGTCTGTGTCACTGTAGCCACCGTCTGTGTCACTGTAGTCGCCGTCGACATGTCACTGCCACCTTGACCATCTCCGGCGGCCAGTTACAGTGACCACCCATGACAACCAGTTACAATTACACTGATAGTGATCACCGTCGGCGCCGACAACAACGACGGTGACTTTTGCCAGACCCCCAGGCCACCAACCGCCGCGACTACAACTGCCCCACCACTACCCCTGTCCTGACCTAGCATAACTAGGCCCACGGAACCAGAGTTCCAGATCTGCCGTGGCCACCAAAGTCGTTGGTGGCTCCCAAATCCCACGAAGCACATCCTCGGATCAATAGATCTCGTCGCCGGATTAGAAGTTCCTCGTTGGATCTACCAAGCTCGTCGCCGCCACAAGAGGAAACGATGACGGAGCGAGCGACGGTTGTTTCCGGACAAAAAGAAAGGGGGAGAAGAGAAGGAGAGGAGGAGAGGAGTTGCGGTGGCAAGTTTAGCCGCCGCCGTCGTTGCTCTTCGTAGTCGCGCCGTCAATCGAAGAATCGATGCAGATGAAGATGAGGGTTGGCTGGAACGAGGTTTGGTCGCCATCTTCGTAACAAAATCTGGTCGCCATATTCGTCGGACGAATCCGCCATGGCCAGAGTTGCGGTATTCATCGGATGTGAAATGGGGAAGTTGAGGAGATTCAATTTAGGACTGGGAGCAGGGCTATTTGAGACGTTTTACCCTTCGATGTCATATTTTTGTCAATTTCTAAAGTAGTGATATTTTTTGTCCTCCCAAAGTGTGTAGGTCATAATTGTGCCATTCTTTCTTGTTTTATTTGTGAACATGCAGTGTTTGTGTTTATAAGTAACTATGTACAACACAAACAAAAGTTAAAAAAATTGTAGCTTCACAGCTTAAACAAACAGGGCTTGCATAAGACATCTACAAATCGGCGTGAACAATTTTCTATTGGAAAATGTCATTTGTGGACATTTATTGTACAAATTTATTGTCTTTGTACACTGACAGTTCATTCATAAGCTCCTATGCACACCACCTTTTCTTTTGATCTAAAAAAAGGTGGAATCTCTCACCCCAGGAGCCCCTCAGCTCGACCCGACAGGATGATGGGGATGTTAGTCACGGTGACTCACTCAGCAGAATGACAGTAGGCTCATACACCCGTGCGCACCAGAGGCTCAGCCTTATTTCAGGTTCAGTGACCCTCACCCGATCGCTGCAGTGATTCGAACCTTGGTCCATCGATACAAATCTCCCACCGCTCGAACCTTTTTATGGATAAGAGTTGCAAGTTGAAAAACATGAACTACACGCCTACACGGCTACACCGCATCCTCTGGTTGGATCCACCCCAAAGCTGCACTTTAAAATTCGTGCCGATAAAGATAATATGCCTACTCCATGCCTCATCCATATTTACTCCGAATAATTCCCCCCTCTTTTTTTATTGAACACCTGCCTTTATATATCGGAGGAGCAACTCTCCTTCTCCACCCCCATTTTCTCTCCACTCCCTTTTCTACTTCAGTTTCCGGCAGAGGCAACGGAGATGGGTATGTCGGTTATTCTACCAGATCTCGGCACCGAGATCCTGATTCCGGTGTGCGCCGTCGTCGGTATAGCCTTCGCGCTCATCCAGTGGTTCATTGTATCTAAGGTCAAGATGTCCCCAGAGAAGCTTGTTTCGGGCTCTGACGGAAAGAACGGATTTGCCGATTCGCTTATTGAGGAGGAGGAAGGCATGAATGACCACAGCGTCGTTCACAAATGCGCTGAAATCCAAAGCGCCATCTCCGAAGGTATGAAGTTCATTTCCGCCCTCATCTTCGCATGCTTTTGTGGATTCAAGCTATTGAATATGGGTTTGTAGTTTGGATTTCGCTTTATATTTTGCAGAACCCTTTGGATTCTCAATTGTAATCTGAAATTGAGCCCCTTTGCTGACTTTCTGCATAACTATTTCTACGGTTTGTAGGTGTATCATGTATTCGTGCATATATTTTACCTTTACATTTTACAGCTTAGTGGGAAAAAATATAATTTCTAGTTGTGTTATTTTCTTTTTCAAAAAAATCACGTCTCCTTCATTTGTCTGACTAGACCACTCTTGGTTAATTTGAATAATTTCCAAGCTTAATATTTTCTATGAATGAGGTTGATCAAGGACTTGTAGACTACTAATTGAATCATAAAGATCTTGCTTCTTCATTCGTTTTGGGTTATTTTAGCTAATTAATCCGTACCCTCTTTGCTTAAAAATCCAGATCTCCAAAGCCATATTAATGTGAATCCCAATTATCTTAGCGTTCGTTTTTCTACTGTATCTCAGTATCCGTTTTATTACTTTGTATTTCGTAAATCTATTTGCTACACTTCTTCATCCTAATCATGGTTTTTTACAGCCATTTGCATAAATCGTCATCATAGTTTCATATAGTAGTTGATTTTCTTAGCAAACTTCCAACGTTTCCATGCTGTATAAACATATAAAAATAGTAAGAGATGAGGTAAGCTTTGTAAGTTTCCAAGACATAGGATTTGGTTACTTTTTATATTAAAAGTTGTATCACTCACCCTGTCCCATATTATGAGGGACTCAGGACTCTTTCAGACTATGATGCTTGTAGTAATATTTAAAATATCATTGGTTATTAGAATTTAAGTATATAAAACTAGACTAAAAGTATTACAACAACAACATCCAAATCTTAGTCCCAAAGGTGTTTGTGGTTGACTAACATGAATCTACATATGAAATCAGAGATAAAAAAGATATGATAAGATAAGATAAAAGGGATAAACAATATGTAGAGATAAGGTAAAGATAGAAAGATAAAAATGATAAAATAAAAAGATAAGATAAGAAAATCCTCCTCACATATATTCTCCCTCCATTTTGCCCTCTCCATAGTCATACTCTCGTCCAACCCAAGAAGTACCGTATCATTCCACCCTTCTAATCCGCGTGTGTTTGGGTCTTCCTCTCCTTCTCTTCGCCACTTAACTTACAGGATTAAATTGAAAAAATTGAATTTGGATATGATAACATTTGTAAAAAACAGCGAATTAAAAAGAGTTTAGTTAATAACTTGAATTGTTAAACGGCCAAATAAGAGGGGCGTGAGTAATATATTGTTGAGAATATTACCCGAAATAGGACTAAAACATTTTGAAAATTCCAAAATAGAACTGCCATGTTATTAATTATTCCCGAAATAGGACTAATTAATGCCATGTTTTGGCATTAACAGACTTCAAACATGGCAGTATTTTCTAAACATGGCAGTAATTAGTCCTATTTTGGGAATAAAAAACATGACAGTCCTATTTTGGAATTTTCAAACTGTTTTAGTCCTATTTCGGGAACTTTCCCGAACATGTAAATTGATGGGAGTGATTACTGATAAACAGTATAGCAGTTCTGTTATACTTCGTTTACACTAGTAAACGTATTCAACATTCAGCAATTGCTAGATAAAAGGCAATGTAGATTTAGTAGTTGTTTGCCAAAAGAACTATGGTGGTGAGATTGAATGTTTTGAAGATGTTTTTTTTAATAAAGATCATAGTTTTAACATAAGGAATTGACTAAAGTAATTACATATGAGTTGACAATCAATACCAATTCTCTCTAAATGTTTCCTTGACATCAATACGATTTCATCAGGCCAACTACTTGTGAAGTTTAATTATTTTCAACTTCAATCCCTTGAATGCAATCTGTATTGACTTCTTCATCCTTAATAGAAACGTTAAAGAGGTCACCAACCTGTCTTGTCTTGAATAACTCACCAGAGTATTCCTTTTATGTGTTCTTTATTTGATCATCCGGGACTAGGGCTTTGTAATTCATATCCTTAATGCATTTCACTATCTCATTAAATGACTCATCAGAGTATTGTGTGATCCTCATGGAATCTCTATTTGCTTCTTCATCTTATATATGTTGTTGTCCATTTAACTCCAGTGGCGTATATTTGTTCATGTTAATTGATCCCAAACTCTTTTGGGATCCAGGCTTGGATGTTGTTGTTGTCCATTTAATTTCTTCACATCACCTTTCTCTTGAAGGGAGCCGTGATTTCCGACAACTGTAGGGAATATTTCTAACATCAACTGCTGTATGTGTTGTGTTACAGGTGCAACCTCTTTCCTTTTCACTGAATACCAATATGTTGGTATTTTCATGGTTGCTTTTGCTGTTTTGATCTTTATCTTTCTCGGATCGGTAGAAGGTTTTAGCAGAAAGAGCCAGCCATGCACATATGACGAAACCAGATTGTGCAAGCCTGCTCTTGCTACCGCTGTCTTTAGCACCATATCCTTTTTGCTAGGTGCTGTTACTTCTGTGGTTTCTGGTTTCCTAGGAATGAAAATAGCTACTTATGCAAATGCCAGAACAACCTTGGAAGCTCGAAAGGGTGTTGGAAAGGCTTTCATCACTGCTTTTAGATCCGGTGCAGTGATGGGGTTCCTTCTTGCGGCCAATGGTCTTTTGGTATTGTACATTACTATCAATCTCTTCAAATTGTATTACGGTGATGACTGGGAAGGTTTGTTTGAGTCTATAACGGGTTATGGTCTCGGTGGATCTTCAATGGCCCTCTTCGGCAGAGTTGGTGGAGGTATATATACAAAAGCTGCAGATGTTGGAGCTGATCTTGTGGGCAAGGTGGAACGAAATATACCAGAGGACGATCCCAGAAATCCAGCAGTATGATAGTGTTTTTTTTACATCAGATAAGTCAAAACAATTTTGTGGTAGTTGGTCTTCTGACTTTTTATAATAATTTCAGGTTATTGCGGACAATGTTGGTGATAATGTTGGAGATATTGCTGGTATGGGGTCAGACTTGTTTGGCTCATATGCAGAGTCATCTTGTGCAGCCCTTGTTGTTGCTTCGATATCCTCCTTTGGGGTCAACCATGAGTTTACTCCTATGCTATATCCTCTTCTTGTGAGTTCCGTAGGAATCATTGTCTGTTTGCTCACCACTCTATTCGCAACTGATTTCTTTGAAGTCAAGGCTGTAAAGGAAATTGAGCCAGCATTGAAAAACCAACTCATAATCTCCACTGTCCTGATGACTGTTGGAATTGCTATTGTTACTTGGATTGCACTTCCATCTTCCTTCACCATTTTCAACTTTGGAGCTCAGAAAGAAGTACAGAGCTGGTGAGTTTGATGTTGCTTACCTTTTGGTAGACTGGTAGTTGGTAGAAATCTACGATACACATATACATTTCCAGTATTTTGTTTTTAATAAACCAGAAGCTAATATTGATACACAAAAGACATAAAAAGATGAAACTTCAGTTGTAGCACCATAAAAGTAATGACAACAACTATCTGAAATATTAAACTCGCAGGCAACTGTTCTTGTGTGTCTGTGTTGGGCTGTGGGCTGGGCTTATTATTGGCTTTGTGACCGAGTACTACACAAGCAATGCTTACAGGTTAGTAGCTGCGTACTAATCATTGTATTTTGATTCCCAAACACTCTCGACCATCACTACTAGTAGTAACTTGAGCTCCCATGATTTTCTAGTCCTGTGCAAGATGTAGCTGATTCTTGCCGCACTGGAGCTGCTACAAATATAATTTTTGGCCTTGCACTGGGTTACAAATCTGTTATAATTCCCATCTTTGCCATAGCTATCAGCATCTTCGTGAGCTTCAGCTTTGCCGCAATGTATGGCATTGCAGTTGCTGCTCTTGGAATGTTGAGCACCATTGCTACTGGTTTGGCCATTGATGCATATGGTCCCATCAGTGACAATGCTGGGGGAATTGCCGAGATGGCTGGCATGAGCCATAGGATCCGTGAGAGAACTGATGCACTTGATGCTGCAGGAAACACCACTGCAGCTATTGGAAAGGTGGGTTGCATAGTTTTCCTGCCTAACATATTAGCCACCTTGCTTTAAAGAGTTGAGCTTACTATTTTTTTTAATTTCAGGGATTTGCAATCGGATCTGCTGCTCTTGTGTCACTAGCCCTATTCGGTGCATTTGTAAGCCGAGCAGAAATTTCAACGGTGGATGTCCTCACGCCAAAAGTGTTTATTGGATTGCTAGTTGGTGCAATGCTTCCATATTGGTTCTCTGCCATGACCATGAAGAGTGTAGGAAAAGCTGCTCTTAAGATGGTTGAGGAAGTTCGCAGGCAATTCAATACCATCCCTGGTCTCATGGAAGGCACTGCCAAGCCTGACTACGCGAACTGTGTCAAGATCTCCACAGATGCCTCCATCAAGGAGATGATACCGCCTGGTGCTCTTGTTATGCTCACCCCACTAATTGTTGGGATTTTCTTTGGTGTGGAAACCTTGTCTGGTGTTCTTGCTGGATCTCTCGTCTCTGGAGTTCAGGTAAACCCTTCCCCACCCTACCCCCACCACTTTTATTTGTCTCTTCAGTTTAAAAGACCATATTGTCGCAATGTATGTAATGAAATAAGTCCATGCCGTACTCTAAGAAGCTGATATGTTCCACTAGTACTAGAAATCTGTAGTTTGTGTTAGTGGTGAAAGCATAAATGTAAATGTCTCACCATTCTCGTTTTTGTTGCTGACATATGTTCTCTCTTGTTTTAGATTGCAATCTCTGCATCCAACACTGGTGGTGCCTGGGATAATGCCAAGAAATATATTGAGGTAAATTTCAATGGTATACCTCCTTTGTGAAATTTAGTCTGTTCAAAATTATGTACACCTTCCTAATTGGGACACCAATTTTCTGCTCTTCTTACACGGCATTCTATTCCCCTCGCCCAATTTTTTTTGTTTTAGAAAGTGCACTATATAGTACACGTTTTCGTCAAAACCCTGCAATAAAAGCAAAATGAATTGATATCTCGTGGCAACAGGAGCTCAACTAATTTTTCTTTGCTGTCAATTGGGGAAAACTTCTGTGCACTCGTGGTGCTTGCGTGCCATTTTGCACATTTTATGGGGAGCTGCTGTGTGTGAGCTGTTTTTGGAGCCCACCCTCATGCTGGAGCTAAAAAATATAGTTTCCGAAATTTGAAGCCTCTTCTTTTTTATTTATCATCACAGGCTGGAGCTTCAGAACATGCCAGAACACTGGGTCCCAAGGGATCTGACCCACACAAGGCTGCGGTGATTGGGGACACTGTTGGCGATCCTCTCAAGGACACATCTGGACCCTCACTGAACATTCTCATCAAGCTCATGGCTGTTGAGTCACTCGTCTTCGCTCCCTTCTTTGCCACACATGGGGGTCTGCTCTTCAAGATCTTCTAGGGAGGACGCACTAGAAGAGAAGGATCTCTCTTTGATCTTACATCCCACTTGTCATAGCATAGTACCTCTCGCAGAAAACTTTATCATATCTTAAATATTTATGTCAAGCACTTTTTTTGGTTGTGAGCTGTTGATTAGTGAGGTGTAGTTCATGCAGAGAATTTTTTTGTGTATCTGAGTTTTGTATGGTTTGCTGAGGTTGGTACGGCGGCGTTGATGATGATAGCAACCACAAAACTATGCAAGAATGGGAGGATCTCGGTAATGTTAGGTCGATTTCCACCTTATTATATTCAGCTGTTGAGGTTCTTGTTAAGGATAGAATCAGAGTCTTAATGGGGTAAGCTAGTTCTTGTTTTTACTCTGTTTTTTGGAAGAAAAACTGAAACCGCAACCAGCAGATTCTAGCCCTGTATAGGAGAGCGAAGCGGTTAGGAAACCAAACTCCAAATGGGTTTAAACCACCAAATGGTTCTGTTTCAGAACTGCAAATGAGTTCAAACCACCAAGTGTGGTTCTTGAATTAGTATAAAATTTTGCATCATCACTAGAGTACTAGTTATTTGTGGATTCATCCAGGTCGGCCGACTCTCCTCTTCTGGAAGAAAAATGAGACATCTTCTAAAGAACTTAGTCTTAGACTGAGGTTGATCTGTGGTGCGAGAGTGTGCTTGAGGTGGAGTTTTCAATAATTTTGGGGATTTAGGTCCTCCCCGAGTAGACATGGCCTTGGCTGGACATGTTGGATCGTTGAGACTTGGACAAGAGAAAAAAAAAATTAAAAATGAGAAGAGATATAACGTGTTTAATATCTTGCTTAAGAGTTGAGGTGCACAAGAACAATGCTTTTGGCGTAGAGAGAGAAGGTGAGAAATGAGTACACTTCAAATGAATGTTACAATATTGCAAAACAGAATTATAAAAAAATGGAATCATGGACGAGCTTAGGAGGGTCTATTTGCTCATCCAGAAGCTTAGCCAGTCTAGCTCTAAACTATGGGGTGAGAAAGTGTGGGTTGATCGCCGGCGTTGAGGTCCTTGTTAGTGCCGACTGCCGACCTGACCCTTAGTTATATATGGTTGCATGAGAATGTTTTTATTTAGGTCAATCCCAAAGTTGATTGGATCATGTGAGACTCAAATAGATCACACTGGACCATGTGACATTAGATCAAACTAGATCAGTTTTTGATAATTCTAAAATACACATAAAACATATATCCACCAGATCAGAGTCTCACACTAATTCTGATCAAGCAAGAGTAAATATAAATAAACTAAACTAAATTAGATCAAATCACAAAATTATGATCTAACTTTGGGGTGGGCATGATCCGAAGTTTCTATCTGTTCGGTTCTAAGGTTGGAACCATTCGGTACCATGCCATTTCAAAACGGTACGAAACGGTGCATTACAATGTCAAACTGATGCTAACAATTTTGAAAAAACTTGCAATTAGTGAACTCATCATACCGGCCAGTTCATATTGAAATGTTGATAAAAATATAAGAGAGAACACAATACGTAAATACCATGAAAGATTGAAGAGACTTACATTTTTTTCTAAGTTTGTAAATACTCAAATAGTACATGCACACTACAAAAAAATTCGCCTGTAGTCACGGACTTAGTCACGGACCGCAGTGTAAAAAATCCGTGACTAACATAGTTAGTCACGAATTTTGTCCGAGATTAAGTCCGTGACTAATTTTTTTTAAACAATCCGTGACTAAATCGTGACTAGAACCGTGACTAACTAGTCACGGACCAAATCCGTGACTACAAGAGATTTTTTTGTAGTGGCATCACACTTAATGAAAAATATAGAAAAATTATGATACACCGGATGTACATAATCTTCATAAGATTCACATGCAAATATAAAAAGAGTATTACTCCGTATCAAATTATTGAATATTATTGAAAAATCCATCATAATTCTTCTTTGTTCTAGGTTGAATATTAGTTCTAGTTCATAATTGCATCGTGAAAGCTAAGATTAAGATTTAGTTGCAAAACTACACAAATATGAGACAACAATTAGTCGTACACACTACATTACTGAAAGTAAGTAGTCGTTAATTATTTTAGCATTCAACACACATACACCAAAATATAACATAAATTATCTAAAAAAAAAGAATAACAAAATTTATACACACATTTAACTATTTTAACAACGAATCAAACCATACTTAGCCTATAAAAATGTTGATCTGGATAAGATATTTATTGGGATGAAAAACTATAAAAAACTAACATGTGATAATTTTAAACAATCCGATCCGGTGTTTTCGATTCTCAAAATCTAGAACTGGTTTTGCACCCGTTTCAAATAGTACGATTTGATATCGGGGAATAAAATTGTAGATAATATCTTTGGTCTTTGACACGAGATGCCGTCTTGAATCAATATCCAAAATTCCAAACCTACCGTGGATTGCGAGGTTGCTTTTCCTCGTTTAGTTGGTTTCTCCTCGATTAGCCGGTTTGACTTGGTGCACAACTGCACATTATACTTGTACATTTATTGACAAGCGTTGAGACGTGGCACCCTTTTCATATGGCCAACCAATGTTGTAAAATTTTCCTGAACGGTATACTTCGTCTTAGGTTGTAGTGTGTGGTGAGGAATTGATCCAAGTTTAGAGGGAGTGTAAAAAATCAGACAAATAAAAATACCTAAATTTAAAGTGTTATTAACTCATTATCTCCACTCCTCAACTAAGTTCACAATTCAATTTTCACGATTTTTAACAACAATTTCCTGCCTTTTATACGAGCTTAGAGATTTATAGAATGAATCGAAGCCAGTGGCGGATCCAGGAATCTGAGCTATTGGGGTCAGAGTAACATTGACGTACAAAAAAAAAATTAATACAATATATTTGAATAGCAAAAACTTTTACTACCTCCGTAACACAAAGATCTTCCCATTTTGACTTTTCACGGTCTTCTAAGTTGAACGTTGACTCTAATATCTACATATCTATATGTATAAAATTCATAATAAATTAGCATTCAAATAATATGTTTTACAATGAGGTATATGAAATAAATTTTTAATCATAACATAATGTGAGTTTTGAATAATTAATGGTCAAAGTTTATAAAGTTTGACTCAAAAGAGTCAAACTGGAAAGATTCTAGGGTTACTGAGGTAGTAATAAAGAACGTGAGAATTTTCAAACTATATAAAGTATATTACAATATAAAAATCCTAAAAGAGTAAGGAGGTGTTTGGAAATGGTTCTGCTTCTACTTCTTTTTTAAAGCATAAGCAGAATAAGAATCAGTTTTCAGAAGCTGGTCACTCTCAGCTTCTACAAAAATGATTCTAGGAATAAATTAGAGCACCAGAATCATATTCTGCTTATGTTCCCTGAAGGAGTATAAGCAGTTTTAAGAATCAGATCCAAATATCCCCTAAATCACAACTGCTCTATTCGAGTTTTGTCTTTTGAAAGCGATCCATTATAATTTGATTTGCGACGGATTCAAATACAAATCTTTCTAAAAAGCAAATTAAACAAAATAGTTACTCAGAAATTGATCACCAATTCTTGAGGAATAGAAATAACATATTGAGAAATATTATTCAAAAAAATGTCCATAAAATCTAATAAATAATGTAATAATTTTTTTGATAACTAATGTATTTTGTCTCTTTATATATCTTAAACCTTCTACCAGAGTGGTAGCCATGTAAAATTTATATTTTATATGGGTTTCTTAATTCTTAAATCAAAAAAACTATTTGTAGTTAGTTGTAAATTTTTTATTGTTAATTCTAACTTATAAATTAGGATAAACTATATTGTTTATTTATTATATCTAAACATCATCTAAAATATACTTCAACACTTTGATTAATGAAACTATGAAAGCTCAAATGTACACGGAGTATTATTTTGACATCTGGGCACTACTGCTTCATCGAGTTATTTTATTCTGGCTGACTCGAGTTCGGTGGGTAGGTTTGTGGGGGCATTTGATTTTTCTTATTGGAGGCAATTATCTGAATTAAAAAAATTCCTAATAAATTTTAGGTAACTATTGACACTTTATTGGGGGCAGCTGCCCCCCTATGCAAGCTTTAGATCCGCCCCCGATCGAAGCTATATTTGCATGGCCATTTCTTCACAAAATAAGTTGACATTTGATCAATGCCTACAATTAATTTACATGTAATCTTATTTGGATGAAAGAGTTAAATTTATTTATGAGTCATCATTGATTTTTAGATTCATGCATATGACATTACATTTATATCCATAGTATGGATTGGTGCGTAAAAAAATACTTATCTTCTATTAAAAGTATATTAGAGATTCACATGCAGTTTAACGTCTTAGACAGTGTTCTAATGGTGTTATGCGGGCTTTAGACATTCTCAGACGACATTCTAACAAATTTAAACAGGCCTAGTTGAACTGAATTCATTTTAAGTTTAAATAAATATAATCATATAATCTCTTAATGCCTAAGAGATAACCAGACGGAGAATTTTAAAAAATTATTGATGATTATACCAACATGTTTAAATGTATAACAAGTTAAACTTTTTTTAGAATAGATACAACTCAAACTCAATTCGAATCTGACTCGAACTCAACTCGAATCAACTATACATTTCTCAACTCGACTTAAACTTGACTCAAACTCGAATCAAGCTATATATTTTTCGACTTGATTAAAACTCAATTCAAACTTGATCTTTATTTATCAAGCACCACTCGATTTAAGTTAAATGAGCACCTCAGGGGCGTAGCTAGGGAGGTTACCTAGTTCATGGTCCACTCCAAATTTTAATTTTGTCTAAATTCATTTTAAAAATTGGTTTTGTGTCCGCCTAGCTTAATACTATGTATTCCCTTGAAATGTTCCCACTTTCTTTATTTGAGTGTTCCATTTAAATGTTCTCATTTTAATTTAGGAATTAATTTAGGGATTTGTCCTCAAATAATACTAATTAAAATCATTTGGACAAAAAAAGAGTCTTTTCTTTTAAGTTCCAAAAATAAGACTCAATAATACTTAAGGGATTGTTACACCCTTACTCAGCCCAAACCCACTAGCCTGCTACAGTGACCCGTCACAGTGACCAAATGTGCAGTGACCAATGTTACAGTTACCAATGGCATAGTTACAAAATTCATCCAGTGACAAAAAATTAATATGTCCCACCAATAACCCGCATCACAGTGACCAAATGTGCGGTGACTTTTGTCCAGTGACCAATTGACAAAGTGACATCTGCTCGTTGATCAATTTTTGTAGTGATTCCCGTGCAGTGACCACCACCACAATGACCATCGTCTACCAGTTACAGTTATCTGACCCGTCCAATTACAGTCACTCGACTCGTCCAGTTACAATTACCCGACCCGTCCAGTTACCCAATCCACAAATTATTGTTTACTAATTTTGATCAATTATAATTACTTAATCAGATCAATTA